CCCGCCGCGCTCCGCGGCTCCCCCGACGGCGCGGGGCGCGGAGCGGCTGCGGGGCGCGGGGCAGCAGCTGCGCCCGCCCCCTGCCCGCGCCCACCCCGCCTATAAGGAGCTATAAGGAGCGGGCGCTGCCCCGCGCTGCATGAGAGCGCCTGGTGCGCAGCCATCCCCGGGCTCTTCATCCTCACCTTCATCCCCCGCCCCGCCCGTGACCTTGCCGGCAGCTCCGGAGTAAGAGCCCTGGGAGGGAGCGGTGCTGGATCCGGGAGCTGCCTTGGGATGAATTAGCCAGGGAATCGCGGGGAAATATTTCTCCTAGGAAGGAGAGAGGAAGCCGCCTCCCATTTGCAGCAGGGGGTGAAAGCAGAAGGAAAAAAAAAAAAAAAAAAAAAAAAAAGAGGATTTAAGGAGCATCTTTGCCCCCTTTGTTGAATGAGAAGGACAGAGGAGGAGCAGCAAGATGAGCACTAGCAGTAAGTACGGCTTTCCCTTGCATTTGCTATGGGAACAGGGCTGACTTTGCACGGATCTGGCTGGGAGGAATCGGAAAGAAAATGTCACACCAGGCTTGACAAGCCTAATGGGATGGATGGAGATATATTATATATTCCCTGCTTTTTGCTTTCTCAGTGTGTGGCTTTGCTGGCCTCTTTTCTTAGGGAATGAGCCTGGGTGCTTGTCTTCCCTGGCTACTTTTCAGGTTGCATTTCTGGGATGTGGAGGGCAGCTCGTGGACTAAAATGTCGATGTGCAACATGATGAGGGGGAGTCAGGAGTGCCCTGACAGGCAGCTAGGCTCCTTTGCTGGTGCCACTGCCTATGTATGGGGGACCAGTCACTGGGGAGGAGGAGCAGGAGCAGGACAAGGAGAGACCCAGAAGCCAGGGAGCTGGGTAAAGCACAGGTGTCACAGAGAAGCACATCTCCCTGCTCCTGCAGCTGGGGTTGTGGGTGTTCCTATTGTGCCTGTGCGAGAGGCAGGGACAGAGATTCTCATGCACTGCGTATAAATTGCTGAAGAAGCAGAGCTTAGAAATATACTGCATAAGAGCATAATTGGCTGCTATTAACAGTCTGGTTACTTCTTTTTGTGTGTGTGTGTGTCTGTTAAAAAGTGTGGAGAGATTGATCAGACTTGATCCAGTTGCAATCAATTTTTTTTTCCCCTCTCTGTTATCTGTAACAGCTGTAGCCACCTTGATAGCAGTACTTTGGTCCCTTCCTCTAAAAAACACACCCCAAACGAGCCCCTGGTGGGTGTAGCTAGTGCTGGCAGCCACCTGAGTGTTCCCCTCCCAGGGTATGTGCCCTGGCTCCTCTGGGTCCTACAGGCTCCACAAAGCAAGGAGAACTCCCCCAGGCAGAAAGAGGCAAAGCAGCAACTTCTCGATGCCATCTGCATGCTGAGGTTTCTCAACCTGAGGCTTTGGGGTGGTTCCCGAGCAGCACAGCATGAACAAATTCCTTGGCAGGCTGCAAGCAACAGAACAGGTGATTCCAGATCTGTTGGACTGTGTCAGAGGCAAGAAAACTTTCCAGGTGCCATCCACACAAGCTGCACCTGGGACCTGGACTTGCCCCCTTTTTGGGGGAGAGGAGCCTCCAGTCCAGGAGAGCTTGGAGAGGAAACAATAGGGACCAAATCCTTCCTGATCCTGCTGGATGCATGATAACAAAAGGTTCCTCCCTCTCAATCTCTCTGGGTGATGATCCCTGGGTCTGATGTAGAGATGGTGTGTCAAGGTGGGATGGCACATAGTGCTTGCTGGCTCACTAATCAGTGTGATTGTGTGGGACACAAAGGGATGTGAAAGGGCTTCTTCTAAGCAAATTTTGATAAATGTGTTGCTCCTTCTGGAGATTCTTTTCTTGGTCTTAATAGCTGGCTCGGGTGCTGATAATGATATGGAGCTGGCACATCGTAACTACCTAGTTGCGTCACCGAACTCCTTTCCAGGGTCCTCCCCAGTGTGGGCAGAGGTCCCTGCTGAAGCCAGGCATGCTCCAAGCCTGTTGCTGTGACGTGACTTGGCCTGGCGGCCTCCCTCCATGGTGAGAGCAGAGAGCCAGGACTGTCTGGGGTGCCCTCCTGTTCCTGCCCCTGACTTGCTCTTCAGCCTCGGGCACGTCACTTTGCAGGCTGGTACCAAGGCTCTTGCCCAGCACTCTGTGGGGGTTTATAGTTGTTGTATAAATATTATCAGTACCTTTTTTATGCAGCTGTGTGGGTTTTGTTAAGGCTGGGGAAGCTGGTTGCTGTTTCTAGTGCTGTAGGTTGGTTGTTCACAGCGGGTATCTTTAGGAAGCCATCTCACTTCTGCAAGGGCTGTGCAAATACTGGGGGACACAGGGCTCTACCTTGTGAGATGCCCATGTTTCTCCCAGCCATCCAGGTAGCTGGGGGTCTCAAAGCAGGGACACAAGCAGTGGTTTGTGTCTGTTCTCAGCATTGGAACTGTAAGCAAGGCTCAGGGAATGAGGGCACCCCTTTTCCGCAGCTAATGCTTCCTGGCCGTGACCCACCATGGCAGCCCTTAGCTAGGGGCGGGTGTATGGGGCGCAGGGTGCGTGGGACCACTTGTTGCTTGGAGAGCTGCTCGCAGAGCCTGTGTGCAGCATTGCTTCCAGCCCTGACGCGTCTCTGCTCCTCTCTGCATCCATTTCCAAGCACTCGTGTCACTGATGATTGAGGGCTCAGCAGCAACAGGGTCCTGCCCACGTACCCGGCTGCCTCTGCTATGCTCCAGTCTCCTGTATCTGATCTCTCGGGCTGCTTGAGACTCTAGCTGCAGGGCAGTGAGGGTGATGAACCCGTTCTGTGTGCTCCCAGCCCCGTGCACACCTGCAGCTGCAGCTTGGTGGCTTTGGGTCTGGTAAAGCAATGACACAGTGGCTCTTTGTCTCCAGCTGCATATCAGATCTGCAAATTCCCACCCTTTTCTTTCCATTTTAATTGCTGGATTCTGATAGTGCCTCTATCCCAGCTGAAGCTGATGTGGAGCAGGAAATTTGGGGCTGTGGGACACTGTGCTGCCCTCTGGGAGCTCTGCGTGGGATTTGGCATCGTGGGGCCAGGCAGTGCAGATGTCCCCATCCCCAAGCTGGCCATGGCGTGTGGGCACCCCACATGCCCTGGCAGCAGGAGGGGGGCTGCTCTCCACCCCAAATGTGCTCCAGGGCAGGATGCCCTGCGTCATCCTTCTCTGCAGTGCTGGGAAGGCAAAGCCATATGGAAATGCAGCTCCTAAGGGAGAAGAGAAGGTCCTTGATCTTGGGTGCGAACTTGTATCCCGAGGCTGCGGAGCAGACTGAGCAGGCCTGAGGGTGCGAGGATGGCATTGGCCTCTCCTCCCCAGTGCAGCCTGCGTTTGGAGGATGCAGTGTTGATATTTACATTAGCTATTTATACCTCCCACTCTCGTTAGCACTGCTAATTGGTTGCAAATGGATTCACAAGGTTATAAATAGGGCCGTGTGTGCCATCCTTTCCACGGATGTTGGATCCTATGGTACAAACTTGCCAAAGAGAAGGTGCCTTAAAATTGCCTTTTAAAACCCCCAAGTTTCTGGGTTTCAGCATCTCCTTGAGAAAGTGGCCATGTGCAGAGGGCCTGATGTGGCTGGCACTAGGTTTATGTTCACGAGAAAGCAAAGGGCTGAAGTTATCAACAGCCCTAGGGATTTAAGACTCGCTGCAATGACTGAATAACCCCTTGGGCTGCTTTGAAGGTGTCAACCATGCGCGAGTGCTGCAGGCTTATGCAGTGAGTGAGCACAGCCCGCAAAGATAGCAGGCCATGGGCTGTGCCAGCGGGACCCATGGGGGCTGCCCTTCCCATCCCACCTGCCAGACTGGGACAGAGGCTGCTGGAAGTCTTGGTGCTGGTCTTGTTGGGAGCAAGATGCCTCTTGCCATTATGGGGCACTCCTCTATAAGCAGAGACACAGCAAAACTCCTGAAAGAGGCTAAGCCTTGGCAAGCTCTTGGGTCAAACCTGGCTTGGTAGACTCTGGAGCAGGTCTACAATGGGAGATAGTTTCTATCTCAAAAGTTAAAGATCTTCCAGCCTCTCTCTTGTCTCCATCAAACACTCTGAAGAGGAAAATCAGAATCTGACCCTGTGCCAAGCTAATGCAGAAGAAAAGAACGAGTGTGACCAGGGGAGGGTCTTGCAGAGGGCTTGGTGTATGAGGTAGAAAGCTTCCCCCCAGATCATCCTACTCCACTAATGTCAGAAAGCTAGGAAAAGAGCTGTGAGGAAGGCTAGCTGGTTTAGCATTTGGCCAGGAAGGCTTCATGACAGCTCCTGATGAATGCAGCATGTTTGTCCGGTTATTTTTGTCTGCTAAACCGTAGTCCCTGTTGCATGGTGATCCTCTAAGTGTAATTACCTGGTAATCTCTAGGCACATGTGGTTACAAGGTGTTTACCAGCAAACTCTATTAAGTCCTTGTGTAATTAAAGAGGAATCACGTGGTGTTGCACGTCTCCAGGAGCTCCAGCATTGCCCTTCCCTGTTCATCGGCTGGAGTGATTCACTGACTTGTCTCCCCACCCAGTGGGGTAGGACCTGCTGAGGACATGTTATTGCTGCAGTGCTTAGAAGTGCAGTGAACCCAGAGGGACCAGCCTGCTGGTGTGTTGAGCAGTGTTGCTCTCCTCCATTTGAGGAGGTTTCATGTGGGGTTTTTGTCTTGTTTTGCTTTTTTCCTCTTATTGCACTGGGATGATACCAGGTCTGGGTGGCTCGACTACATGTGAGCCTTCAGATGCACCTCTCCTGACTTAGCACCAATGGTTCCTGTTCAACACCAGTTCCCATTTCATTTAGCTGCGCCGTAGTGTGCACCCTGCTCCCTCTTCCAGGAATTTCTGCAATGCTGGAGGTTACCTCTTGCCAGTAGCAAACAAGGGGCTGAGCTGCAGTGAGTTGGGGGGCAGCAGGATGAGATGCTGCCCAGTGCAGTGGTGTCACTGCCTGTCCCCCAAGGACTCGGTGACAAGGGCTCTGTCACTGAGTGAGCCCTGGTATCATGCTCCTCACCCCCTGCACTGCCAGCACCTGCTGGGAACGTGGGCAGGCTGTCCCCATGTGTGATGGGGAAGAGGCTGCCTCCAAGCAGGGCTCATCTTTAGTGGGCAAATTGATATGGAGAAGACCTGTGGCAGGGTGTTAAGGAACGTGGAATAAGACTAGGAGTTCAAAGCATTTGTGGAGATTGAACAAAGTGGAGAGATGCAGGCAGAGGGAGACTTATACACAGCATTCAAGATATGAAAAACGATCTTGCTCGTTTTAATCTCCAGGATTAACCATGACCACTGCCTAGTGCCCATGCTTTTCTAGGGAGGACTTCAACACTGAGTTCGGCAGAACTGGGAGGTCCAAACTTCCTGCTTGCATTTTGCTGCTCTCCATTAACACTGAACTGTGACTCCACTGCTGCAGCCCACCTTCCAACCTTCTGCAAG